CTCTGGTCAGAGTTCAGGCTCTTACAGTGAGCAGCCATTTTTGAAGTGATCCAGTACTAATTCCTTGATTTCTGTTGTTTTTTACCCTGCATCCCTGTTTATAGGGGCTTTATTTACAAGAGTATAAAAAGTTAAGTCTTCAGAAAACTTTGGCAGGCTGTATGTTTACATGTAGATGTGTAGTACAACTCCATTGGGGAGTTTAGTGTGCCTTGAGGAATGTAATCAAAATCACAAACCATCAAGATTATCTTGATGCTTGTGCCTTGACCGGAAACGTCTTGACACCCAGATGCGACTGGTTAGCAGTTATTTACATGTATCTATATTATGTATTTATTGCAAAACCATTTTGAAGTTTCCATTTCAATATATCCTTTATTCAGCTCTGATGAATGCTGTGATCTTTCAGCACTCTTATACACCTGATAACACATCATACCCTTCACTTTCTTACAGGTTTGTATATGAAACGGAACATTTTAATGGTGTTGGAGAGCTACTAGAAATATTGGGAAGGTGAGTTCTTACTGAGTTTAGACTACATTCTTTTTATATTTATGGAGACAAAATAATGTTTGTAATTTGTAAACACATCTTCAATATGCTAAAAACTTTGATACTTCAGTTGCAACCACTGTCTCATCTTCACAGTCCTAATTTGTTGACTTACCTATTTCAGTATAATTAATGGTTTTGCTTTGCCATTAAAAGCAGAGCATAAGCAGTTTTTGATCAAGGTGCTGATCCCACTGCACAAAGTCAAATGTTTAAGCCTGTACCATGCCCAGCTGGCCTACTGTGTGGTACAGTTCCTTGAGAAGGACCCCACCCTTACTGAACCTGTTATTAAGGGCCTACTCAAATTCTGGCCCAAAACATGTAGTCAGAAAGAGGTGAGTGAATGGGGTGTATGCAATTTGTATTTCAAGTTTCATATTAATTCAGGTTTTGTGTGTTATGAATAAATAGATTCATGTAGATATATACAAACATTCACAGATTTAAAGATGTCTTCTTTGCTTTCAGGTAATGTTTTTAGGTGAGATTGAAGAAATTCTCGATGTGATAGAGCCGTCACAATTTGTAAAGATCCAAGAGCCACTATTCAAACAGATAGCCAAGTGTGTTTCCAGTCCTCATTTCCAGGTAAGTAAAAAAGGATTCTTTCTTTGTCGTTATTATTGATGATAGTGAGTGTTTAAGTATTAGTTTTTTTTTTTTTTTTTCCATCATTGTTTTTGTTATTGTTGTTGTTGTTATTATTATTAATATTAATGATGATATTATTATTGTTGTTATTAATCATTGTTATTATCAAGCTGAATTTTCTGTTATTTTTATTTTTCCATGTCACCAAGAATAGGAAAGTTAAATTGAATCATTTTTGCTAGGGAATGCTAATCATACACTATATAATACAAGATAAGTGTAGTAAAAATGCATGCAAACGTGCCTTCATGCTAAATGAAATTGGTTGATATATAAATGTGATTAAAGCAGTAAGTGAACTGCATCAGAATAGCTAGTGATTCTTTAGTAATTTTATTCCTTAACATGCTTTTATATAAAACAAATAAAAAAAATAAAAATAAATAATAGTAATAATAGTGTTAACAAGGAATTCTGACTTAGTCTCAAAGAGAGAGGGTAGTTCACACACAAGGCTGCTCTCCACCAACTTTCAAAGTATTACAAGTTTAAATTTTCTTGCCCAGGTTGCGGAGAGGGCATTGTACTTCTGGAACAACGAGTATATCATGAGCCTCATTGAGGAGAACTCGAATGTGATCCTGCCTATAATGTTCCCAGCATTATACAGAATTAGCAAGGTAAGCAAAGACAAGTTTTTGTATTTTGTATTTTCTTATTCCAGATTCTGTCTTATTCAGTGCCATTACCCTTTTTCTTCATTTCCTTTTGTTCTGTTTACTCTTCTGTGTTTTAGACATTTTTCAGAAGCTATGCTCTTTGTATAGAAGAAATTACAAGAGACTTCTGCTATGTTTCTTCGCTCGAGAAGGGATTCTGTAATAGCGGTGTGTTTACATCATCAATTGTGTCTGAAGCACAGAACTGTCCATCAGCAAGACTTTCTTCATATTTCAACTTGTAATACAAGATATATATAGTTACAAAGAACTGTATTGTGAAGCTAAATTTTACAGTTGTAGTTTATCTTAAGCAGTGATCTTTCCTTCCATCCTTCATTTCCTCCTACCTCCCTATTTTTCCTTTTTCAAGTTATCCATAAGATATCTGTGATAAATCATTTACTTCTTACAGTTGCAAAGCCTTTAGTTCTGTTGAACCTGAAGGAATAAATTTTCAATAGACGTAATGTCTGTTTGCCACTGTATTTCAAGTAATATATTAACCCATTCACGAGGGGTACATTTAATAGCCAAAAAAAAAAAAATCCGGGCGGCTACAAAATTGGCGGGCGGACCTTCCGGAGTCTGTTTGCCTGCCTACCGCAGCCCGCTGCTGCTGCTGTGTG